CTAGCAGTTTAATATAGGCTGGTAGGACTTATTCCAAAATACAACAAACAGCAGACAAGAAACAGCAGACAAGAAACAGCAGACAAGAAACAGCCAGGTACTGAGCAACAAGGCAAAGCCAGAGAGGAAACACATATTACTATGATATTAGGCTGGTGGGCATGGGGGAGGCGAGAGGGCAGACAGCACACAAACATACATTGCAGGAAAAAAGAAAACAACCCGCTATTCCAAAAGACAACAAACAGGAGGCAAAAAATAGTCGGGCACAAAGCAACAAGGGAAACGCAGTGAGGCAACACATAGGCTAGTGTGCACGGGGGAGGCGGGAAGGCAGAACACTCAAGCACATGAGGAGCACAAAAGGCAAAGAAAAGACAACAGGCACGGAAACCAAAAAATTCGAAGAAAGTAAAAACTGATGATGATAGATTGTTTCGTTGGAATTGCAGCGAGTCGGACTCGTCAGGAGGCTGAACCCTCGACAATCTGCAGAACCCCCATATTGATGGTTTGGATCATGAAGCCTTCGACGCTTGTTGGAGGCAATACACAAATGCACACACAGCAACGGGCAGCAGCTCAGCGAAGCGCCAGGCAACGCTGACAAGGCATCAACACCACTGCACAACGCCAAAAACGAATTGCATGAATGGCACAGCGAGCGGATGAGCAGCTTGGCGACAGCACAGCGAAGCACAAGGCAACATCAACACACCAGCCAAACTACGCCGCATACAAGCAAAGGACACAAGAGGCAAGGCGTGTAGATGGGCAATAAGCCAGCAGCACAGCGATGCACACGGCAACACCAACGTAGAAGCCACACGATAGAGCGAACACAGCGGCCGCTGCATAGAACAACCACCTATAAGAGCAGGCATTAACATAAAGAGTCAAGCGGGATGGGCAGCAAGGCAGTGGCGGAGTGCGAACAAGAAAGTCTGCACATCCAACACAGAGGAAAGCAGCACATCACCTGCTCACATCACAAATGAGCCCTGTAGACTGATGGTTCCCACCACCCACTGAGCCACGGAGTCACTCCACTGAACATCTGTAATCACCCATAGACCATATGCACCACACAAACATCATGAACGGAGCGGGCCCCATTAGAGTGTTACGGGCACTTTAAACCCCCAACAACTGACTGTTTAGCACTTCTTGAAGGTGCTCACCTAGACACACAGAAAGTCCTTGGAAAAAAGTCAAGAACGAGGAAATACATACATGCATAAAGAATGTGTGTCTGTTTGTGTGTCTGTTTGTGTGTGTGTTTGTGTGTGTGTGTGTGTGTGTGTGTGTGTGTGTGTGTGTTTGTGTGTTTCGTGTATAGCATTACTGTGCTATACTATTTCATCGGACTTCTATGTGTGTGTGATGATATCCGCTGTACACGACTCCACACACACACACAAAAAAAAAAAAAAAAAAAAAAAAAAAACCATTACTGTGCCAGACTGTTTCGTCGGACTTTCACTGACTCAGAGAGGGAGCTTGAACCTGGACAGACGGTCTGCCCAGGATGCATTTGACTGATGGATAAGGACTCACCAGGTCGCCCAGGGTTAGCCATACCCCTCAGAAAGTGTTCGACTTTTATAACACCAACTCGGCAATCCTAGCAGACTGTCAGTCCAAAAAAATGCCTGACAAGAATGGCCGTAAGTCTGCGAAGCTAATTTGAACAGCCATAAATTTAAAGCCACTTTACATACCCACTCAGCCATGAGGGGTGTGTGTGTGTGTGTGGGGGGGGGGGGGGGGGGGGGGGGGGGGGGGGGGGGGGGGGGGGGGGGGGGGGGGGGCACACGCGCGCGCGCGAGAGAGAGAGAGAGAGAGTAGCACCAGGGTATACCGACAATTTCTGCAATCCGGCAGAGGCGCATAATGACATTTTGTTGGCTCCACTCTGATCCTGGGCATTTGGGTAATTTCAACATTCCGGCAGTTGGGTATCCTGACAATTTGGAGGGGTCTTTGGGCAAATATACTACAAGTTTGGCTTCACTCCGGCTTACACGTTACAACAGACAAGCTTGATGAAAAGTGCGGCACAAGGACCATTTTCCCTTCACTAGCATTTACATGGGTTTACCATTCAGCCACATGAGCAGGGTCGTTTTGCGTAAAATTCCCTAGTACCTGTAGTGTGTTCATCTGATTCTCTCGGGACTCGAACGCACGCTCAGTTTGCAAACAGTTACATGTGTGTAAGACTTCGCCACATAGGCCGGGTGTCTGTCTCTACCCTGTGACAGAATTTTCAGGAGGCCCTATGAAACACCCGCGGAGTCGAGCTCGGAGGGCGGCCATATTCATGTCCGCATCCGTTTGCACGAATTTTCATGAATAAGATAATGGGTAAAAAAAAATAAAAAAATATGGGGTTGTAGGGATTTTCAAGCCCTACAACCCCTTCTTTTTTTTTTGGAAACAGATAACTTTTTTGGAAACAGATAATTTTTTTGGAAACAGATAATTCGCTGCACTACTCTCGAAATGTGCAAAACGAGAGCGAATCTTCTGCTAGAACATGGAAAGATACATCACCATGATTTTTGGCTTTTGTGCATTTCGAGAGTATTGCAGCAAGACCCTTAGAGTCTACTCACACTACAGTGTAGACCTAGGGTCTCGTTAGACACTCCTAAAAGAATCCTAAATTTTTTAGGACGAGTCCTAAGGATTCCGTGCGGCGTCGTTACACGCAGTCCTAAAAATCATGTTTTAGGACTCGTCCTAAAAGGTTCCCCGCGGCCCGTTTTCATACGCGTATACGCAGCCGCGCCGCCGATGTCCGTCCATTCCTCGGCGGTGTCCGTGGTACAGAATGCGGTGGGCCTTGGGCGGGAGTCGACGGATCGGTGAAACGCGCGGTTCCCCAGAACTTCAAAATTTTGAATTCGAATTTTCGCGGACGCGTCCGCCGTGCAAAAGACGGCGCCTCCCTGTCGACGCGTGTGACGTGAAAAAGACGGCGCCTCCCTGCCGTTCGCCGCGCGGAATCCATCTTTCGAGTGTACGCAACTTGCGAGGAGCGTGCGCATGATCGTGTGAGCCGCACGTTCGCCTCCGGCGTGCGTACCGTCCTTTGGAAGCGTGGAGCACCGGACGCGTGTTCGTCTCGTGTGCCATTGTACAGCAGCGTTGCCATCATGGACTCCGGCGTTGTTTCTCTACGACGGCAGGGTTCCGCGGCGGGCGTTTCTGAGGCGGCTGTCGAAGGCGTGACGTGGCAAACCGTGCGAGGATTGGCAGAGATGGACAGTCATGGCTGCTCAAACGGTCTACGCGACGAAGAGATCGACGCCGTGGCGATGGCGGTGACTGCCGTCGTCGTGAACACGATGGGCGACAAGGAGTCCTCGTCGCGCGACATGCTGACGCGGCTCCAGCAACAAAGACCGTTGTTGCAGAGCGTTGCAGAGGCGCCGGATTGCGCGGCGACGTGTGAGGCAGTCGTCCAGTTGTGCGTCGCGGTGACGTCTGGCATTTTCCCGCGGCAGACTCCGCGATGGTGGATCAAACGACGGACTGGCAGGACATGGGAGGACCTCCGGCTTCGAGACGACGCGACGGACGAGTACTTCCGGCAGAAGCTGCGCATGTCGACGGCCATGTTCAACCACATCGTAGCCGCGTGCGCCGCGTATATGGAGAAGAAAGTGACGCACTATCGAATGCCATTGCCAGTGGAGCAGCTGATTGCTTTCGCGTTATACAGGTGGGCGTCCGGAGAGACGTACGAGAGCGGCACATCAGCATTTGGCATCGGCAGGGCAACTGGACTGCAGGCCGTCCACGACGTCACTTCGGCGTTGATGCAGGCGTACCCCGACGCGATAAAGTGGCCAATGGGCAGGAGACGTGCGCAGATTCTACGCGCTTTCCGTGAGAAGGGTTCCCCAAACTGCTTCGGCGCTATCGACTGTACGCACATCTACATTGACAAGCCCGCTGGCGCACCTTCCGAGAACTACTACGACCCCAAACAAAAGTTCTCCGTGCAGGCGCAGGTGGTCGTGGATTTGGATTTGCGGATCCTCGACGTCCACGTCGGATACCCTGGAACTGTGCACGACGTCCGTGTCCTGCACAATTCCCAGTTGTTTAGGCGTGCAGAAAGTGGCGAGCTGTTCGACGCAACTCCGGAGAATCTGCCGCATGGTGTCGTCACGCGAGGCTACCTGCTGGGCGACAACGGTTATCCAGTTGCCTGTCCGTGGATTGTGTCGCCGTACGGTGGAATCGACCAAGGTGCTGACGAGGAGCGCTTCGACATGCGGCAAAAGGTGGCACGGGGGTGTGTGGAGAGGGCATTCGGCCTACTCAAGTGCATGTGGCGTCTGTTCTTGCACACCCATAAGACGAACCTAGAGACCTTGCCACAGCAATTCGTGGTTGTCTGCACTCTCCACAATATCCTCCTGGACGCGGGGATCGACTTCGACGAGAACCTTCTGTGGGAGGTGGATGCGAACGGCGTTCGGCGTAGAGTGGACTTGGGCATTGTGGGGAACGGCGCAGGCGGGCGGGGACGGTGCACGAACGTGGAAGGTGAATTGTTGAGGGATGCCCTGCGAGACCGCCTAGCTTTGATGTAGGACCGTGCGGTAGGGAGTTGGTGCACACGGGGTGGTTCGATCGGTAGGCGGTTGGAGTTATTACGTGGTCCATGTCCATGGTCGTCGTGCGCGTGGTTGGTTGGTCAAAGGAACGGCGGCATGATTGTCGTCGACGATTTCAGATTATCGTTTTCATGTTGTTGATGGCTACCTGGTTCGCACAGTTGTGCGAAGTTTAAAGATTGGAAGAACCTTTTTTTTGCCAGTGTGTGTCCTCGTCGTTAGGATTTTTTGTCTTGTTATATATGTTTCCTGTCTTCAAATCGTTTGTGATGAACGGTGTCGTGCAATTGGAAACACGGTTGTTGCTGTTGTTGTTTTTTTTTTATCTTTTTTTTGTTTTTGGAAATGTTGATTATCTTTATCTTTTTTCGGTGCATATCTTCATTTCCGTTTCCATAACCGGTTTCGTGTGCTGTTGTGGTGGGATGACATGTACAACAAGCTTCTATACGATCCCGTCATGCATTCTCTCAATCCGTGATTATCGCATGTCTATTGCATGTCGTGAAGCCAATACGAAGAACAAGAAGAAGTGAAACACAGACAAGGACACTGCATGACACGCACGACATCTGTGTCCCATAAAAGACTTGACCACATTCATGACACCGACATATGACAGAGTCGTGAGAGTTGTCAGACACATCGCAAAAAGGCAAACAACAATCAACCGCCACGCGCTTCAAATCGTCCGATACAACGAGGAGCACCATGCATTGATAAAACAACCACGTGCGCTGAACGCCGAAATAAAAATAAAACAAAAACAACAACAACAAAAAAAACAAAAAACAAAGGTGCAAAGAATTCATCCCGTGCTGGCGCTTCTGGCCGCACACTGAACACCTACGCCACCGTCGAAGATTCAGCCGAATCCCTCCGGCCAACACGATAACCACCGAAACTACAATGACACTATCGAACTGAATCATCCACGTGCTTATGCCACGGGCGACACAGTAAACCTGTGCACAATGACGACGGAGGACTCTAGCGAATCCCGGCGGCCCACACGCTAACCAGCTGCGCCACGCACCACACTCCAATCACACGACAACCCGTCACGTCTCGCCACCCATACATCCGCCTTCATTCTTAGAAGCGTTGTCTCCCCGCTCTCCCCCCGCATACCAGCCTGCCTTATGCGTTGTCTTTTCCTTCGCCTTTGATGTCATCATCGGCGGGGCCCGAACCCAACCAATCCAGCTTCTTCGCATCCTCTGGCCCCTTGATGGTTGCGTCGTGCGCAAATCCGATGTCGCATGGTGCCCAATCAAGATGTAGTCGGGGTACACTCCGAGCGTGACTTTCGCCTTCCCAAGCCTCTCCGTGACGACGTTCGCGGCGCGGACGACGGATCGTCGATGATCGAAGGACCGATGCATGGAGGCGATTAGTGTCGGCCTGGCGACGAGATCCGCAAAGTAAAACGCTTCGTAGTGACTGCGCGGATCGTCTCCCGCCATGTGCATAATCCACATGGACGCCGCCAGCAACAGCTTGAAGCAGTCAGCCACCCGACACAGACGCTCGTAGGAGATGAAATCGTCGTCGATGTGAGCGCCCATTTGCACCGCCGCGCGGAACGAATGCGCGATGCTGATGACGGTGGACTCCTAGTACGCAGCCATGTCGTCGTCCTCAGGTCTGTCCTTAATATTCGCGTCGGCGTACCACAGTGGAAGGTCCATGTTGAGATCTATCGTGTGGGCGCAGATCGGCGCGCTGACGACGTTGCGCCACCCCTCGCCGTACCACATTGCACGCGCAATGCCCGTCGCTACAGACTCCAACGAGTACTGGAACGCAAGGTTGTACCCCCTTGGGCGGTTCCCGGACTTGAAAACCCAGCCGTGCTGGATTTGGGGATGACAACGCTCCGCGGAAGTTGAGGTGGCGGAAGCCCGCTGGCGATGGCGACAAAGTACTCTTTGGTTTCGTGGACGATGTTATAGAGTCTGCGTCCTTCACCCTTCGTCCAGAAAGATTTGTCATCCACCCAAAGAAGCGCACGGTCGATAAGTTCATTCGTCATTACTCCTCTGCATGCCCGGCTTGAACCTGCCTCGCCGCCATCGCGTTGGTTCGTGTTCTGTCCACGACCCTCCTCTCTCACCGTCGCCGGAACTGCAGCCTCCTCTCTCGCCGCCGGAACGGGAGGGACAACACCTGCATCAGCCACACCCGCACCACCTGCCGCCTCCCCTCCTGCTGCACGCGCGTCTGCCACGACTCCCCCACCACCACCTCGTTGGCGAGACGCACCGTCACCACCGTCGTTGCGCTGACGCAGCTGAGACGGCGTGCAGGGCACTGCACGTGTGATCGGCCTTTCGTCGTCCGCAGCGCGAGCCGTCGACACCGCCGCTGTGGTCGCTTGTGTCGCAATGCGAAGGCGACGTCTCTCCAAAGGCTCTTTGTCTTCGCCGCCAAGGTCCACCACAACACCCTTCTCTTTCCACGTTTCGCGGACACGCAGCTGCTGCGCCTCCGGCGGAGGGGTTGACATCCTCTTCGAAGCGCTCTGATCCGGAGTACGCTGCCTGGCACTCTCCCGTCCTGCAGACGCCGTCGCCTCGCCTTGATCGTCCTCCGTCATGAAATCATCGTCGTTGTCCTCTTCCGCCGGCTGCGACCAACCTCGCGCACCACGACGCGTCAGGCTTGCTGACGCATCATCCAAACGCAGCCTCTTCGCCTTCGGGACGTGCCGACGACTTTTCCCCTGGGCTTGGGTTTTGTCAAGCGCGACGTCGCGTTTCTTGCCACGGGCGTTCAATCGCGCAGACATGCTTGCTGGGGACCCCCACAAGCGATCTCGGTGTAGCGCTCGGCTGACGTGTGCTGTTTCGTCGAAAAATATGTCACCCGTCTCTCGCCAGCCTGGCCAGACAGGCTATCCCGACGACGTTGAAGATGTGTCCTTCGCTGCAGGATGACGATGACGCCCAAGCGCACCACGGAAGGATGATGTCCCTGGCGACACCTGTCCTTCGCGATGGCGGGAGTGCTCCGCGGCGAGAAGCCTAACTGCCAGAAGAGCGGAAGCGATGACGGTGATAAGCGTTGTGGCACTGCAGATGCGCGGCGGGAAGTGTGCAGCTGGCCCGGCGAGAAGCGTTGTGGCACTGCAGATGCGCGGCGGGAACCTTGTAGCGCGCCCGACGACAAGCGTTGTGGCACTGCATATGCGCGGCGGGAAGTGCGCACCTAGCACGGCGAGAAGCGTTGTGGAATCACCCTCGTGCGGACGACATGTATGCGGCTCCGGATGCGCAGCAGTGAAATGACAGTAGCAGAAGGACCGTCCACGACGTCGCGTCCTCTTGGCGGGAAAACGAAACGACGACGGCGACACGAGCTACCGCCATGCCTGTCCAGGCCTGTCATTATCAACCTCCCGAAGCTGCGATAAGGCCATTCCACGTTCGGTCGACGCGCGCGAATGCACTCCGGAAGGACCAAAACCAAGACGGCCCGCCTTCACCCGCGGACACCCCATCGCGCGTCCCCCTCGCAGCAAACGACCCCTCCATAACCCC